ACATGGGAATTCTGGGCTTCCTGTCAAGAGAAACAAAAGACTTTAGCAGCTGCCCTTGAACACATGGTGCCAAAAACCTCTTCAGCTGCCGGCAGGGCACCAGCACAGGGGCTCTCACTCTGTGCCAGGGTGACGCACACAACTCACATGAGCACAGACAGCTGCTCTCCAAGGCCTTCCACCAGCAGAACTTGGCACTGGCTCTGCTCTACAGTAATCATGAGGTGGGAGATTTGCAAGGATCTCGTGACAAGCCCCAGGGTTCATCTCCATGTTAATTACGCACTTTCTACAGATCTAGAAACACCCCTTTCCTTGCCTTCAGGCACCTGTTTTTCTGACAAACATCAGTTGGACCCCACAAAAGTTGCAGATCCACACCAAAATGCACACCTGCCACAGCTCAGGCTCCCCAGGAGCTGTGCTTGGAAATCACAAACCACTGTGGGAATTCCCAGCTCTCCCACTCAGGAGCCTGTTGGAGCAGCATTATTTTGGATGCTCCGTGTGAAGTTCTGTGCTATGAAGAGCACATGGTTATCAGCTAAATCCAGAAGGCTTTAGCCAAACCCTCTAAGCCAAACAAGAAGCAGGAAACAGGCAGGCAACCACAGCCCATCACTGGGCAGGATAACAGATGTGTCTGTTGTTACAAAGCAGATGGCCCCAGTGTCACCTCACGTGACTGAGGCAGTAACAGGACCAATTCTAAAGCCTTCCCAAATATCTTGGTAGCACTGTTGTGCAGAACATTTCAGGTTATTTCCCATCCTACTGACGAGCAGCAAAAGTCAATATGCAGGAGCTGCTCTCCAAAAACATATATGGCAAATATATGGCCAATATATGGCAAATCAGTTTCATGTTTATATCCATGAGAACAAAATGGTAACTGTGGTTAAATGTCACTTCTTCAGTAAGCAGAAAGTACCTCCAGGCAGCAAACCAGTCTTACAAGAACAAGCCAGTGAAGCAGATGGCAGAATTACCAGAGCAGCACAGACTTACCCTCATGCCCATGTAGAAGGGGATAACAGTGACGCGGATGTTCTCCGTGGTTTCTCGGTGCACATCTGAGAGCTCCAGCCAGGGGTGGTTCTTCTCCTGCCAGGCACACAGAGTGTCCCTTGCTACAAAAGGTGGGACTGTGGGGAGGGAAACATGAGAGGCAACACTGTAGCTGGAGTGCTCTCCCCTCAAGGCAATTCCTTTCACATGGTTAAAAAAATATTCAAAGGCAGCTTCACTGTAACAAACCCCAAGCTAGACATGATTTTTACACCATATCCAAGATTATGGGGTTTGGGTGTTTGCTGTAGAGCATTGCAAGCATCAGGCCCTGAAGAATCCCCTGTGAAGCCAGGATTTACCTTTTGTTTGGTCATACATGAGGAACCTCTCAAAGAGCTCATGCTGGATGGGCACTTGATCAGTGGAGCTGTAGGGAAGGATGTCTTCATGGCTTACATAGTCTAAACCTGAAAAAGAAACCCCAAAAGCCATGGAACTTCCCCAGCAAAGAGCAGCTCAGAAGTCTCCTGGCAGAAAAATTGATCACATTAGTGAGATAAAAGGACTTTGGCAGCAGAAGCCAAAGCAAATATCACAACTGCGAGGAAGAACAGAGGAGACGTGCCAGGAATAACTCTTGGCAGTGTTCTCCTGCGAGATTTCTCATTAAATGACCCCTCTGATAAACACACACTGCCCTGCAAAGTGCCTGCACTGCCCCAGAAGCAGTCTGAGCAGGAAATGCCCAGGACAGGAATCCAGCTGTCCTGATGACAAAGTAGAACAGCCCATATACAACTTGGTATGGGATCTATGTCTCAAGAGCTCAAATCAGACATGGCTGTGTCTGACAACAGAGGGCCCAACTTCCAGCTGTCCAAAGGGTTTCCTGTACTTTAGTCACTCTTGTCCTCAGCACAGCACCGAGCTATGTACCACTATAGAACGTCCTGTAGGAATTGCTGCTTCACTGGCAGGAGTTGACCACTGATATCTTTTCTGACCTCATAACAATTGGAGGCTGCAGGAGGATTTTACTCACCTGGGATGGCATAGAGGGCTCTGCTGTCATCATGATTTGCCAGGAACGTCACTGCCTCTGTCTGTGATCTCTGGGACTGAGAAATAGGGAGGTTTATGTCTTTCTGTGTGCATTGTTGCAGGACAGTTTCCAGTCATATTTCAGCTCATTAGTGTGGTTTATAAAGCCTATAATGTTTATTTCATTTAACCAATTCACCGCAGAACTTCTCCCCATTTAATTCCTCTGGGCTGACTCCCCACTCAAACAAGCAAGGAGCGTTTTCAGTGCTTCTGCTCACATTCCTAATGACCTATGCTCAACAGTGTGGTAACAGCACCAGGAGGGGGAAAGGAAGGTGGAAAGGGGAAACATGATCCAGAAGAAAAGTTGTATGACATTCCAGATGATGTTTCTCAGGGAAAATATGCCTTGGAGAACAAATTTATCCAAAAATCCTAACCAATCCAGTTAGCCACGAAAGTAATTTTCCTTCACTGGCTTGCCCCTCAGAACCACTCATGTAGGAGAAGATACTCAAGTTTCAATACTAAGATTACTCATTACTTACTATATGTGGACAATCCCGGGCATCTATTAACACCTGGTAGTAAGTGTGTGTTTTGCCCTTGACCTCTTTGGAACCATGGCCTGCCACATTCTCGCTCCTAAAGAGAAAAGCAAAGCTCTGAGCTCAAGCACAGGATGGCAGCAAATTCTTGTTTTGTGCTTGGACCAAGCACTTATAAACAGTGACTTTTTTTAAAGCCACATTTCACAGCCTGTAATCATTTGGTTGCACCCAAACCAAAGCCCCATGAGCCACCCACATAACGACAGACGAGCTGAGATGACCAACAGTGGTGTTTGGCACAGGCACAACAGCTCAGAGGTTTTTCCAGCTCAGTGTAAGCTCCTCTCTGGGGTGGATATTCCTAGTGCCCTCTCTGATTTTCTCTCTGATCGTCACTCCTTCCCAGCACAACTCATCACAGGCCAGAGGAAAAATGGATGCAAGAGGGGAGAGAACAGCAACTCAAGAAGGATGAACTTGGCTTAGTGGGTTGAAACTGAGGAGGAAGCTGACAAATCCAATTCCCTGGCAATCTACAGCAGCCTCCAACTGGTAACACAGGAGCTGGATCTAACTCAAAAGGGGTCTTTTTGTATAATACAAAATGCCATGAGCATTATTTTTAAATTGATTTTTATTTCCTCCATTCATACGCTTTCATCCTTCATACTTCCATTGTGTCTCTAATTAATACTCAATACTTAATAATGAAGCATTTCCTCTTTAAGCACCTCTCCTACTTTACAGTCATGCAAACAGACCCATTGCCTCTCTTTAAAAACTCTAGTTTACCCCAGACAGGAAACTCACTACAAAATGTAAATCTAACAGTCCAACAACATGAACCAGAACAAATCCTCAAATCCTTACTTTTCTGTGACAGGAGAAGCCACATCCCGATCATAAAGCCTGGCTTGCCAGGGAAACAGGACTATTCCTCGATAACCAAACACACTGTGAAGGAAGAGCTGGAAGGAACAAATAATTGCAGCTAAATTATTTTAAAAAATCTGTTATCTGAGGTAAAACTACGAACATTTACAAAAGGTTTAATGTGTGGGATGGGGATACAGGAAGAATCACCACTGTGATGACCCAGAGCAGAAAGAGGGAACACAAACAGTTTGGATAGGAGAAGAAATCCATGTAATCTCTATCCTATAGAAGGGATGGACTAAACTGGTAATGCAGTAATAGAACAGCAGAAAGGACAGGCTGCTCAGAAACAGATCTCAGAGTCTTAAGGACAGGAATTACAAGTTTAGTTCTTATTTCTCAAATTCATTGATTGTCTCTTTGGATCCTGGAGGGAGAAAACCCCAAAGTACGACCAGTGGATCAAATGCCATTGTAAAACAGTTGTGTTGCGCTGCAGATTCTTATCAAGCTGTTATTGTCAGATGACTGACAAACTGCAGACACAGCACAGACAAGGAGCACCGAACTGTGAAAGTTCCGGCCTTCTGCTGCTGAGATTTTCCTTATGGGAAATCCCTCAGCTGCTGAATCCCTGTGGCACCAGCCTGCAGGGTCAGCTGTGCTCCCAGAACCCCTTACCTGGCCTGTCTCATATTTGCCGTGCTGCTTCGGGGCCTCAAACACCCCCACGGTCTCCAGCACTTTGCCCTCGGGACGGTTCCTGGGAGCAGAGAGGCAGCTTGGAGGGTTTGCAGGGAGCAGCCCCCAGGCCAGGGGGACGCTGCTCCCCACCTTGTGTGTCCCTCGGGTACCCCACAAGAGCCCCACCACGCACTGAGATGCTCACTCTGTCCTCTGCCCTGCACTCCTTGCCAGTCTCCCCTCTCCCCACTGCCCTGGACATCCTCACCCAGTTGTCCCTTTAGCCCAAAGCCCCCTCTCCCACATCTCTGCCCTGGCAGCCCCCCAACTCCTTCAGTGTTCCCCCAGCGACTCAACAGACCCCGACCCACACCCCAACTCCCCTCACCCCAAACACCCCCTGCGAGCCCTCACCCCCTCCCAATCACCCTCAGACACCCCCCACACCGCCTGTCTCCCCGAACTCCCCGACAGCCCCCTGCCCTCACCCCAACCCCTCACAGGCCTCACCGCGACGAGAGGTGCCGCCTCGGCGGCAGCAGCAGCGGCAGCGCCGCTCCCCCCGCGGTGCCCAGAGCCCGCAGGTGGCGGGCGGGGGGCGGCTCCCAGAGCGGGGGCGGCCCGCGGGCCCGGGCCCGGCCCAGCGCCGCCGCCACGTACCGCCGCGCCGCGCCGCCCGACATCCCACCGCCCGCGGCCCACAGTGCCCCGCGCGGGCCGCGCCTCACCGCCCCGCCCGCCGCGCGCGCCGCTCCGCCCCGCCCCGCCGTCTCTATGGTTCGCCCTCCGCCGCCCCTCTCCCGGTCACCCCGGCAACGCCGGCCGGGCCCAGCAATGGCGTCGGCGGTGCGGGCCGGGCCGCGGCTGCGGCGGGCGGTACGGGCCGGCGAGTTAGCAGCGCTGCCCGCCGGGCTGAGGGATGAGTTGGAGGCGGCGCTGGCGGCGGAAGGAGGGCTGGTGCCTTTCAGTTTGCTGCGGGGGCTGCACGCCGCGCTGCGGGAGGCAGGTAGGCCGCGCTGCGCCGGGCCGCCGTGATCGCAGCGTGATCGCGCCGTGACCGCCCCGTGCCCCGCCCGCAGGGTCTCCGCTGCATCTGCACGAGCTGCTGGAAGGATGCGAGATCCACCTGCCCGAGGTGCCGGTGCCGCCGCGGGTAAGTGAGGGCCGGCCGGGGGTCGTGGGAGGAGGCGGCGGCTCCCGGCCCTCACGGTGGGTCCGTGCCTCCCTCAGAACCCCGAGCTGGTGGCCCGGCTGGAGCGGATCAAGGCCAAGCTGGCACACGAGGAGTACCAGCGGATGACCCGCAACATCACCGGCCAGGTGAGGGGCTGCTGCAGTGCCTGCTGCCAGGATACATCCCTCAAACACCTGAAAGCAAAGATTTTCCCCTTGGAGTGAGCGCAGTGCAGCGGGGATGTGGTAGGCACTGGAAGAGAGCAGTAAACACACGGGGAACAGATCCGGTGTTGAGGACAGAGGTAGGACAGGGTTAACAGCGTGGTTAATTAGACATACTGACTTTTGTGAACTGCTCACTGTGCCGAAGATCTCAGGTTCTGTTCTGGGAGACTGAGCACATGCCGTAAATGTTTGACTGGGAGCATCTGTGCTGCTTAAATTTTTGTCACAGTTTTAAAATTGCCTCATTCACGTCAAGATAAAAGCTGAAAATACAAGATCATATGTGGGCACTCATTCTTTCCTGAGGGAGCTGATATCTTCTGGCAGGTGACTGTTCAGACAAGTCAGCATCCCTTCCTGCTGGCATTCTGTGTGATCCCATTCTGCCCTTCCACACTGTACCTGGCATCCAAGTGCACATTAACTCTCAGGAGAAGATCTGCTTTTCTCTCTGCCGAGCTGGACCACTCCAGATTTGACCTGGTTTAGTGAAAGGTGTCCCAGCTCATGGCAGGGGCTAGAATAAGATGGTCTTTAGGGTCCCCTTCCAAACCAAACCATGCTGTGATCTATAATCCAGGGTGGTTTTAACAGAACTTGTGCAAAATCTCACAAACCTGTGTGCTGTAAAACTGCTGCTCCCCCACAGCCCACCCACTCAAAACCTCAGAGTCTTGGGGACAGGACAGGGCATTGGCATTGCTTTTATTCTGCACACACAGTAATAACTTAACTATTAACATTAAAATACAAGTGATCACAAGCTGTTTCAATCCCTTCTTTCAGGAGGTGAGCGGGCCATTGGCTGAATTTGGGAGGCAAGGTGAGTGGCTCCCTGTCCTGTTGATGTGTGCAGGGCAGGCATGGGAGCTATTCCATCTCCAGCTGGTGACAGCCCTTCCCTTTCGGAACATCTCACCAGAAGGTTTTCATGCACTGAAGTGTTCCTTGAATAAAGTAGCCTGTTGGTCACTCTTACCAATACTTCTGGAGGCACCAGATCCCAGCTGAGGCAGCTGTGCATGAGTACAGCTTGTCTCCAGCCCTACTCCCCAGCCTTAGCTAAAATCACCTCCTTTACCACTCTGTCCCCCAGTTCGTTCCATGAAAGCCGTTGTCATCACCATCTTCAACTTCATTGTCACCGTGGTGGCCGCCTTTGCCTGCACCTACCTGGGCAGCCAGTATGTCTTCGCAGAGACAGCGGCGGTGAGCAAGCCCTGCCCCTGGCAGACCCTCTGTGCTGGCCACGCCAGACACCCAGGGTCACCTCTCTCTCTTTTGTGTCCCCAGCGTGTCCTGTCAGCCGTCATTGTGGCCTCAGTGGTGGGCTTGGCCGAGATGTACGTGATGGTGCGGACCCTCGAAGGGGATCTTGGCAAACTATGACCATGAACTGCAGGCTTCGTGCTGGAGCCTTTTGTCCTCCCCAGGAGCTGCTAATGTGGGACAGATCTTGTCCTGTCTGTACCTGTTCCTGCTGTGGGAAGACTGCTGCACTCCTCAGGCTCATCCTTCGCTTCCCACTCCTGAAATGAATCATGGCTTGGAAATCCCGGAGCTGCAGAACGGGAGAGGGAATGGCTGTGGACTCCAGTCACCCCAGCAGGGAGAGGGGCATCAGTTCCTGCCATCCCTGCTGTCCTGGGAAGTTTCTGTCTGTTTTTATTCTGGAAATAAATTTAACACTGTGTGTTTGTAACCTTCTTCCTGCGTGTCGGGAGGTGTCTGTTGGTATGAGAAACATTGCTATGGCATCTGAGATATGGCAGAGATGTGAATCTTCCCTCTGCCTCTGCATCCTGCTCCATCTCCTGTCCAAACCTTCTGCCTGCACAGTGAAGGATGCCTGCACAGTGCTCCCAGCCCCCTGCCAAAGGGTGCCCAGAACACCCCTCAACACTGAGCCCAGGGGTTTCTCAATTGCCCTGGGACACAGAGTGGAGCCAACTCGGTGCACCCACAGCAGGCTGGGGACACCCATGGCAGGCCCTGGGGACTTGGACACCTGCCAGGTGGGCACTCTGCCAGGGCCAGACACAGTGATTAATGCTCTGATGGCAGCTAAGCCCCTCTGGAAACATGGTTTAATATCCGATCCAGGGAGATCTGCCAGCACCTGCGAACGTGCCTGCGGATTAGGGGCGGCCGCGCCACAATCATCCGTAGATACAGCCCGAGATTAAGGTATTTTTTCCAAAAGATTAGTTGGTATTAGGGGGCTGATAGGGAGCTGCCCCTGCTGTGGCTGCACCTGCATTTAGGATATTGGATGACATCCTCAGGGCCTTTGGGACCGGCAGTAATTCCACACCCTGATGAAATTGTGGCGCTAATCTGGGGGGACCGCGGTGCCAGGAGGGTCCCTAGAGCCAGGGGTCCTTGCCACAGCTATGGCTCGCCCAGGTTGGTGATGGCCGCGCTGTAGATGAGGTCGGAGATGGAGCCCAGCGAGGTGGGGAGGCCCCGAGCGGGGCTGTGGGATCCCGGCGGCGGCAGGGCAGGGGCCGGGCACGGGATGCTGCCGTCGGGGGATGCCGCTGGGGGACCCCGCTCCCCGGGCGGCGGCAGCGGCTGTAGCGGTGGCTGCTCCGGCTTGGCGCTACGGATCCTGCGGGCGCGGCGGTTCTGGAACCAGACCTGGGACGGGCGAGGGGAACTGTGAAACAACGACAGCGCCCCGACAGGGTGGCCCCGCCGAGGAGAGGGGGCCCCCGGAGGGAAGGAGGAAAGGATGGAGGGGAGGGTCCCGCCTGCGCTCACCTGGATCTTGGCCTCGGGCAGCTGGGTGAGCTCGGCCAGACGCTCCCGGGTGGCGATGTCCGGATAGGGCACGGCGGCGAAGGCCCGCTCCAGCTCCGACAGCTGCCCCCGGCTGAACGTGGTCCTCCGCCGCTTCCGCGGCCCCCCCGGGCAGGGACAAGGACAGGGGCACGGCCCCTGGGAGCCGCCCCCCCCCGCAGCCCGCCCGCCGCCCGGCCCGCCCGCCCCGTCGGGGAAGCGGAGCAGCGGCTGGGGAGCTCGGGAGGTGCCCGGGGCCGCGCTCATCCTGCCCGGCTCCCCCGGGCCCTCCGCCGCCCCGGCTTTTATCTCCCCCCGGTCCCCCCCGGCGGGCTGGGACCGCCCCGAGCGGGCGGTGCTGTCCCCCCCGCCCCAACCCTTCCCAAGGGCTCCCGGTGCCTGTCCCAGCTCCGCGTCCCCGATGGCAGAGCCCCGGCAGCCCCGACTGACTCCCCAGCATCCCCGGGGACCAGTAGCCCCACCAGCTGCTCGTACAGGTCTCCGCAGTGCCGCCGTCGGGGCACGGTGGGGATCGTGAGGATCCCAGGGCTCGGGGACCCACCTGCCACCCGCTCCTTGCGCCCCCTCCCCCGCCTTGCGACCGCCGCTCTCCCGCAGGGCTGGCACCGGTCAATGTTTAACCGGAGCGGTGGTACCGGTTGTGCGGGGCAGCCGGGGCCGGCTGAGGGTGGCTCCCGCCGGGACCGGCCGGGCGCCGCGGGCACCCCGAGCACCGGGTGCTGGGGGGCGCATGGAACCAGAGGGGGAGCGGGGCGGGGACCCCCAGCCGGACCCCCGGCCCAGAACGCTCCCACGAGGCCAGGAGAGACCGTAAGTTTTCGGGGAGACAGAAGAGACAGAGGACACCCCGTTCTGGAGCAGCAGGATTTGGGCAGTGACTGCTCGACTGATACAGGCAGCGGCGGGTGGCGCCCGAAAAAGGCTGGGGGGGACAGGACCGTCCTTCTGCGGCGACATGGCGGGGAGAGTGAGCTCTGTCCCCTGCCAGGCCTCGGGGCACAGTGGAGGTGGGAGGACGGTGCGAGCGCAGCATGACGGGGGATCCCGAGGGCAGACCCCAGAGCTGGGAGCACCCACCACCCTGCTGCCCTCTGTCCCCCAAAGGAGTCCTGGAGAGGAGCGGGAGGGCCCCGTGGAAGGCAGAGAGACGCGTCTGAGAGTGGTGTTAAGGTAAGGGGAGACGAAAGGGCTCAGACGAAAGGAACCTCCCTGCCTGAGACGAGGTCACAGCAGGGCTCCCCAGGGACCCCATGCAGCGACACGTCTGTGTCCCCATCCACACCCCACCGTTAGGGTCCGGCCACTGACCTGCACGGAGACGCGGAGAGGTGACCAGCAAGTTGTACACAGCCTCGGTGACGGTGCCGTCCACGTAAGTGCCACCTCCCCGTCGGGGTGTCGGGGTCGGGGAGGGCTGCGGCACCCTCTGAGCCGCCGCTGTCCCCACGGCCAGGTAAGCGCGGCCAGGCACGATGCCACCTTCGGCTTCAGCGCCGTGTTCGACGCCGGTGCCTCGCAGGAGGCTGTGTTCGAGGGCAGCGGGATGAGGCAGCTGGTGGAGCTGGCAATAGACGGGTGAGTCCCGGAGAGGCCCCCGCAGACCCAAACCCTCCGTCCACCCCACGCCGGGCCTTTCCGGCGCCTTTGCACTGCCGGGGCTGTGTCGGGAGGTGGCATCGCTGTGCCACCGCCTGCGGCCGTGCCTGACACTCAGCATCTTCCACAGCTTCTCCTGCACAGTATTTGCCTTCGGGCAGACCGGCTCGGGGAAAACCTACACCCTGATGGGACCCCTCGCCCAGGTACAACGCTGACCATCTGACCTGATCCTGGTCATGGGATGAGCTCTTCCCACTCGGTCATGGGCTCTGGGAGCAGGTGGGTGCCCGATGTGACCGCTCACTATCCTGGCATCTCTGCAGAGCGAGACCCAGCCGGCTTCCCCGGCCCTGCTGGGGCTGATGCAGAGGTCCTTCACCTGCCTCCTGGATCAGAGCCGCAGCCGTGGTTCTGACCTGGCTCTCAGCGCTTCCTACCTGGAGATCTACAACGAACAGGTAAATGCCTGCCCAGCCGCCGGCTCCGGCCCTGGTGGCACCCCCGCTCCCCCGGTGCCTTCCATCTCCTCAGATCCGGGACCTGCTGAGCCCGGGGCCACCGTGCGCCCTGCCCCTGCGCTGGAGCAAAACCCGCGGCTTCTACGTGGAGAACCAGCTCAATGTGGAATTCGAGAGCCTGGACGCCATCGTCAGCCTGCTCCTGCAAGGTGCTGAGCCACAGGCACAGGCCTGGGACACGTTAAGGGCGTGCTAGACCCGGCATAGGAGGATTCAGCCCCCACAGAAAGTCTCCAGGGCTGGTGGTGCTCTGATGGCAGCCGAGAGGAGCAGCTCCCCGTCCTGCTGCAGAGCCGAGACAGGCTCGTGTCTGGCAGGGGGTGGTGGGCAGTGGATGCTGTGGCGTTGGGATGTGAGGTGTCGTACAATCAACTCCTCCCCCGGCAGGATCCCAGAGGCGCCGGACCTCGGCACATGCCCTCAACAGGCACTCGAGCCGCAGCCACGCTCTTCTGACCATCCACATCCGCAGCCGAGCCGTGAGCGCGCATCCTGCTCCTGGGGCGGGCTGGGGGGCTCAGGGCTCAGAGCCGGGGTGCAAACAGCCCCACGGTGTGGGGGGCACGCTCTCCTCAAGGATACACGAGTGGGGCTGGAGTGAGCAGCCGGGAATCCTGTCCAAGATCCAGGAGTCGGGACAGTGCTGTGGGCCATGGAGGAGGGGTGACGGGGGCCAAAGCATCACCCTCCAACGTGGTTTCTCCAGGCCAGCGCCTGCCCCAGCAAGCAGGGCACGCTGTGCTTCGTGGACCTGGCTGGCAGCGAGCGAGTGAAGGAGACCGGGTCCAGCGGGGAGCTCTCCGTGGAGGCAAACAGCATCAACCGCAGCCTCCTGGCGCTGGGTAAGAGCTGATGGATCCGCCCTGGGAGAGCCCTGCTGGCCCCCGCCAGAGCCCTGTCACATCCTTTGTGGCTCATCCTCCGACAGGACACTGCATCTCCCTGCTGGCCAAGCCCCGAGGGAAGCGAACGCACATCCCCTACCGGGACAGCAAGCTCACCCGGCTGCTGGCTCGCTCCCTGGGCGGCTCGGGCATCACCCTGATGGTAAAACCGTGGAGGAGGCTGGGCAGGGGTCTCACCCCATGAAGGGGAAGGCTGGAAAAGGATGGTGACCCTCTGGATGACAGTCCAGTTGCATCTCTTCTTCCTTGGCAGGTCGCCTGCATCTCCCCGTCCTCACGCTGCCTCTCAGAGACTCTGAGCACGCTGCACTACGCCAGCCGTGCACGGAGGGTCACCACCAGACCCCTGGCCAACAGGGTATCGCAGACAGGGAACCCCTCTGAGCTCCTCTGCCCGGCTGGGACCCCCCTGACCCACCCCTTTATCCCCCCACCCCTGCCAGGTGTCCCGGGAGAAGCTGCTACAAACCTTGGAGCAAGAAATCCATGCCCTGCAGCTGGAAAACCTCTCCCTGCGCCAGCAGCTGTGCCTGCCCAGAGTGCCTTTGAGGAGCAGGGAGGTCACAGGGAACACTCCAAAAGCATGGGCGGGCTCGGGAGACAGGTACGGCCCTGCAGGGCAGCTCCCACCAGAGGGAACCCCAGCCTGGCCCAGCCTCTACGGTCTCCTGCGGGACTTTGTGGTGGAGAACGAGCAGATGAGGTATGTATGTTTGTGTAGGACCCCTGAATAGGGGATCAAGGGGCTGACAGGGCAGCCAAAGCCCCTGGCTGGGCAGCACCCTGCACCAACCAGCCTTCCTCAGGGACTCCGTGAGGCTGGGCAGGGCTCTCCGGAGGCTGCCAATGCCCTGCCGGGCTTCCTCACTGCTCCCCAGGCAGCCCCATCTGTCCCCAGAGCTCAGTGGTGACATCCCAGCTGGCGCATCCCACAGAGTCAGCCGCAGCTGCTGTGACAGCCAGCCCCTGCTCCGGAGTGCCCGCACCCTCCATGTCCCCCCCAGGCACTTGGTGAGGCACCGGCGGCCCGACACGACACCCAGCTCTGTCCCCCGGCTGCCGGTGAGCGTGGGGGGCTGGGGTCTGCAGTCATCCTGCCCACGGCAGAGTGAGGATGCACAGACCACCCACCCACTGCTGTCCTCTCTTGCAGAAGCTCCCTCCTGCCTCCAGCCACCCCAGCTGCCAAGTGTGCCCACAGTGCTGCCCTGTGATGCCACCATGTGTGCCAGCTGATGCCACCATGTTCCAGGTACAGCCCCAGGGGTCTCTCTGGAGGGGGTGGCACAGGTGTGGCACAGCCACCTTGACCGCTCTGCTCACCCCCAGGTGCTGCCAGAGCCCCCCATGCCACAGCCAGTCCCCCCCAAGGGAAGTGCTGGTCTTCTGTCACCTGGACAGGAGGACACAGCTCTGCCTGGCTCCCATCAGCCCCAAGGGCACCCCCAGCCCCACCAGAGGAAGCGGTGAGAGCCACTCCTTGGGCATCAGCTGCAATTCCCTGGAGATTCAGGGGGTGGTGAGACAGTAGGTGAGGGTTTGTTCATGTGTCCTCATGGCAGGAGCCATGGCAGGAGCAGGAGCTTGTCCCAGCAGCACCCACTGCACCGGGAGCTGCCAGGCCCTGAGCGCGTTCCCAGCCCTGAGGGAAGGGTCATCCCTTCAGCCCCACCGTGGCCAGGATTGCCAGAGCCCAGAGGTGAGGAGGGCAGTGGTGGGAGGCCAGGCAGGGCCTTGGATGGGCACCCATCCCTGCACAGCCATTCACACATGGGGCTGTGGAATGATGCTGGGGGAGACGGAGACCTGACCCTGCTGCTCCCCACCAGCAGCCGCCGGCACCGTCCCTCTCCTCCAGTGGGAAGAGGCATTGGACTGGCTGGCAGAGCAGATCTGAGCTGCCACAGGCACAGCACGGATGGGGCCAGCATCAGGGATCTGGCACAGACTGGGGGGACAACCACAGCCCTCGGGGACATGGGATGTTGGACCACAAGGACTGCACAAACCTCGGCACAACAGTTGGACAGATGGACAGACAAGAGCCCTCCAGCCTGCATGGCTCTCACAGTTTATTTCTGTCTAGCTGGGCCTGTGCTGCTGGTGGCTCCAGGGATCCCATCAGGCGCTCTCCTCCGTAGGCTGGGGGCAGCCCAGCCAGTACTGGGCGATGGAGCGGGGATAGCGTGGCCGCACCAGGTCCACACGCTTGGTGCGCAGGTTGACACGGTAGTACTTGTCTAGGGGAAGGGGACATGGCTGTCAGGACTGTCCCCAGCTCTGGGGAGCTGCCAGGCCTCACTGCCAGCATCTTCCCACTGCATCCCAGAGCCCTGGGACACTGCAGAGAGAGAGGAGCCCTCCCCGTGGCCCGGCAGCCCCGATCCCACATCATTCCTAGATCCTGACAGACTCACCTCCTACAAAGAAGTAGACACTCTGGAGCATCTCACACGTGGAGCCCGACAGCCCATCACTTTCAACACCTGCTGAGTCGGGGTCATTTTGCAGCCAGCTCCAGAATCCCAAATTCAGTGACCGGTGGTGGTTGTACCTCTTGCGCTGGCGGCGAGACTTCCTCCTCCGGGGCTGGCTGGAGGCCACGTAAATGCGGCCGGCCATGGCAGCGTCCAGCCGGCTGGGCAGCCCCCGCCAGTCCCAGCTGATGTACCTCGGGCCGCTCGCCCCGGCTGCAAAAGGAGCAGAGGGTGAGTGAGAGAGGCAGCAGCGTGTGGGGTGAGCTGGGCCCAGCCCCACAGAGAACACCCAGCACCCGCTCCGAGACCCACAGGAATGCTCCAAAGGATGCCAGCCTGGATGGGACGTGTGAGTGACACAGGAGCGGCTCCCCACTCCCTTGGCTGGGGTCAGCCTTGTGCTGCTGAGCCCCCTTCTCTTCCTCTCTATCTTTCATTCCCTGTGCCCAGGCTGGGGTTTTCCTGTGCCATCTCCAGCTCCAGTGATAATAAACAGTCCCCAGCAGTGACACCATGGTGTGAGGCAGCTGCTGATGGGTTTGTGGAGCATAAGGGCTGTGAGGGTGGGATTTGGGATGTTGTGGGAGGTGCAGCTGTGGCCTGGGGGGTTCCTGTTCGTGGCCTGGGCAGGATGTGATGGCTCATCCTGCCCTGATAGCTCATCCTGCCCATCTGTGCTTCCAGGCATCGCTCCCTCCTCCCTGTGTGTCTGCATCCCTCGTGCCCTGTCAGTGCCCGCTGTTGGGACCCTTCCCCCGGGGCTGGCCCAGCCCTTACGCATCCTGCTGCCAAAGAGGAGCTGGAAAACATCCTCCCAGCTGTCCCGGTTCATGAAGGCGTAGTGCTTGAACACCGTGGAGGGGGAGGACTTCTCGCAGTCGGCCTGCGTGGGCTGCTGGGCAAAGTCGTAGGACCAGTAGTACTTGTCTAGGAGAGGATGAGCAGGGTGTTAGTGGGGGACAAGCACTGGAGGGGTGTCCAGCCTGTGCCCAATGGTGCCAGGCTCTGCCAGGAGCAGGGGGGCTGCCCCCCTTACCCTTGAAGAAATAGACTCTCTCATTGCCGTGGTAGCTGTGGGCAGGGAGGGCGAACGCTGCGTCCACATTGTTGGGGATGCCCTCAAAGCCCTCGGAGATGTCCCGTGGGTACCCAGGGTCCAGAGCTCCATCATCAAAGCGCCAGTACTGGGTGCCCTGGGGAGTGGGGGGCAGAGAGGGGTTACAACATCCCCCAGCCACGGGTCTGCCGGGAGGAGCGAGTGGATGCTGGGGAGCCCCATCATGAGGCTGTGGTTGCTTGGGGGTCCCAGAACAACCACAGGGATTTGGGGTATCTGGCAACCACTTGTGTGTGTGGGTGCATGGAAGGTGTCAGAAGGGGATAAAGGGTGGGTTGGGGGGCTGTGCTGTCCACCCTGGGGGTACCCCCAGCCCTGCAGCCCACCTTGAAGAGGTAAGTCTTGCCCTGGCAGTTGATGCGTGTGAAGGCTGCATCGATGGGGCCCTCGATGCCCCAGACATCACTGATGAGCTTGGGGTAGCCAGGCCTCACACTGGTCTTGTCCAGCTCATAGAAGTACTTCCCTGAGAAGAGAGGAGAGGTAGGGGCAGCAGGAGGGACTGCAGACACCAGCACAGGGTGACAGCATGGCAGCGTGTCCCACGTGCCTGGGGAAGGTCCCCAAAGTACCTCGGAAAGCGTAAAGGGAGCCGTTCTTCAGGTCAGTGAAGGCATCGAAAGGTTTCCCATTGCACAGCTCCTCAGGCTCCCCAGACCCATCTGTGGTGGGGTCAGGCTGCTCTGGCAGTGTCCCCCCAGGGGTTGGCTTGCTCTCTGGTGTGGTTTCCACCAGCACTGGGGATGTGGGCAGCCCTGTGGGGGATGTGGGCAGCCCTGTGGGGTCTGCCACGGGCACCTCGTCCGTGGGAAAGTCGACGGTGAGGTTGTAGTCCAGGTAGTCGTCCTCCGGCAAGGCAAAGACATCTCCCCGGGTCACTGCAGGAGGGAGCAGGCTGGTTCCCACCTGGTCTGGGTGCAGGAGATGCTCCCTCCCAGGCAACAGAGATTTATAGAATCATGGAGACATGAAGGTTGGAGAAGCCTTCTAAGATCATCAAGTCCTATTTAACCCAGCACTGCCAACCATGTCCCCAGTGCCAGAAATACAGAATTTTGGAACACTTCCAGGGATGGTGATTCCACCTGGGCCTATTCCAATGCCTGAACACCCTTTCAGTGAAGACATTTTTCCTTCTATCCAATATATCCAATTAGCACGGATCCCACGGCCCATATGGTGAGGAGCCAGGTCCCAAAAACCCCATGTGCTGCAGGAAATCCTGGTGCTGACTTCACCCCCTGGACATAGGTGAGAGCAGAGCTGACCAAGCACAGACCCCACGCTGTGGAGCACCCACAGCCCGTTCCCCCTGTGCCCTGGCCAGGAGGGTGGCCGTGGGGACAGTACCTTTGGCTTTGCAGACGGTGGAGTAGTCGCTGCAGCAGCTCTGGTAGTACACACAGAGGGTGTCACACTGGCACTTGTGCCCTGCATCAAAGCCTTCTTCACAGCGGCCCTCGCAGGAGTCTGCAAAAGCCACCCCACAGCTCAGGAGGAGTGATGTGGAGTGGGGCAGTGGGGCCCATGCCTCCCCCCCAGCCCAGCCCCACGGGGTAGAACAAATTTGGGGATGTCCTGGTTGAGGATACCCCACCTCTTCATGGTCAACTCCATCACCAGGGGCTACAGCAGCTCCCACTCAGGTCCTGCTGGGATGGGAGCCACGGATTGGGCTGTGCCATGGTCACAGTTCCGTGCTGGCAGCCCGGACGTGGGACGGGCAGGGATTTCCCAAGGCACCCCTGGCTTGTGTGCTGCCCACTTGCTTTGAAATAAGCGTACCCCCATCCTGCAGGGTACAGCCAGTGTGGCCGTGGTCACCATCCTCCCCACCCGGCCCAGGAGCCGCTCTTGCTCCATCCCCAGAGCACCTGGCAAGGGGCTGGCAGGCTGAAGCTCACCTTCTGCAGCATGGCTGGCAGCGAGCAGGGCCAGCACCAGGGCAGGGAAGAGCAGCCTCATCCTGGGTGTCCGGCAGCACAGCCCTCCTGCGACTGTGCGGGCTGGAGCACAGCACAGCCCCAGCATCCACTGTTTGCTCAGCCTGCCCCAGAGGGAGAAAGCAAACAGCCCAAGGTCGGAGCAGGGGAAAAGGGGCAGAGATGATCTCCCACCCAGCTTCCCCCACAGTCCACGCTGAACTGGGGATGTCTGGAGGGGGACAGGGCTGCCAGGAGTGAGAGCAGCTCCTCCCCAGCCCCGGTGCAGGTTGGGCACTGTTCAGAGTGGGGAGGGACAGCAGAAGGACAGTCAGGAACCACTTTTAAGGCCCTGCCATACTTCAAAGCAACCAGCTGTTTCCCAGCCTTGTTTTGGCAAAGACAAAAGCCCAAATGAGATGAGACAGGGCAGAGATGCTCAGAAGACAAAGGGGAAAGCCCTGGGCTTACACTTGCCCAAAATATGACCATTTTGGAGGGCTTGTTCTTGGGATCTCAGTTTTCTCAGTGTCAAGGCTGGGAACAGACCTGGAGAGCCTCAAGGCAGGGTGGCTTGGGATGGGTCAGGTGCCACCTCTGTGCGTGGGGACCAGAGGCCAGAGGTGAGCGGCTGGGGGCAGGAGCCATCAGCGCTTTCACTGCAGAAGGCAAACAAAAGCCTGTGTATTTTGCTCCCATCATTCCCTTCCCAACCAATCTTTTTGGTTACTAATTAATGTTGATTCAGCTCTTTTGGCAGCTCCTGATAACTCTGGGATGTTTATTTAATCAGGGGCAAGGAGCAAACACACACGAGGCTGCAGCAATCCTGCCTCTTCTATCTCAGCTGGGACAGGAGCTCCGTGGGATCTGTCCCAGCCCTTGGGCAGGAGTGGTGCAGCTTTAGGAGATGCAAGATCTGGGGAGGGAGAGAAACCCGAGCAGAACACCCTCTTGTCCAGGGGTCTCTCCTCTGCCAGCTCAGACACGGGCAGTTCCTGGCATCTCCTGGCATCGTCTGCTGCTGGCATCTTGCTGGAAAGAGCTTTATTTGGTTTTGAGACAGGCATTTCCACCTGGAAGCCCTGGGGAGCTGAGGGCAGCTACCAGACATGGGCTTTTGGGGCAGAACTTCTCCTGTGGCCCTCACCCCGCTCCTTGTCCCCTGGCCTCAGCTGTGGCGGGGCTGGCACTGTCCCCAAGTGCCAGCCCCAGCTCAGTGCTGCAGCACAGCTTCGTCCTGTCCCTGTTGAACCAGTCCTGGGGGACAACAGCCCTGCGAGGGTTCAGGCTCGCAGGAGGCTCTAAGGGAGAAGGGCTGGGCATTGTCTGAGCTGCTTTGGCTGATCAGCTGAGACAAAGCTCCCTTCTGTTGCTCCAGGCTCCCAGTCACCAGCCAGGGGCCCACGAAAGCTCAGTGAGCCCTCCCCTGCCAGGAGCAGACCCCAGGAGAGGGGTTGGTTGGATAAAGGGGGCCGGGGGAGCTCCTCCGGCCAAGGGCTGAGCAGAGCCAGTGAGGAGAACTCGGGAAACGGGGCTGACCCCCCAGGACAAGGCTGGGAACTGCTGCAGTTCCAGACTCCAGGCTGCTGGGTCTGAAATCTCTCCCAAAAAGCAAAGCAAAACTAAAGGCAAAGCAAAGCACAGCTCTCTGGGATAGTCAGGACAAGCCTAAAGGGAATGGTTTGAATTCTGCTTTCCCCGGGCAGCAAACCCCCTGCTGCTCTACACTGCAACAGCTCTTATGGTTACCCCTGAGTAACAATAATTTATCAGGAAAATCCTTACTGGTTCTGTGCCGAGCTTCTCCCGCAGTTTTGTGCTGCTCGGGGTGCCTTGTCTGCTGTCCCTCCTCGTGGGATGATGTCCCTTTCCTCTGTCTGTCCCCTCGTAGTGGATTCAGAGAGGATTAAGAGCGACTCTGTCACATCCAAACATCAACTCGAATTTAAGTCTCAGGCTGACCTGGCAACAACCTGATTTTGGGGTCAAGGATTTAAGCTGCTCCTCCCAGCACACCGAGAAATGCCCAAAGCATTTAAGCATTTCTGCCCTGAGCACGTCTGGCCTGGAAAAAAGAAAACAAAAGAGGCCCAGGCTGCCTCTGCTCTTTCTTTTATCATGCAAATCCCGAGCCCACCCAGAAGAGCTGCCCTGAATTTTCACCAAGCAATGGGTATTTGCTTCCTGCTGATACCAAACGGGTTCGAAACACTGTGCCAGGGTGGTCACAGCCTCACCGTGACCACCACAGTGCCTGGTCCCCTTTACCTCCACCCTGTGCCCCCTTGCTGGTCACAGAGGGTCCTGAAGAAATGTCCCACAAAATCAGCCTGGGGGTCCCTGCCTGCCGTGGAAGTGACACCGCAGCAGCAGCTCGGGCACAATGGGGGGATGTGGGCCATGGGGACAGCAGGACAAGCCCCAGCTCAGGCTGGACAGGGAGAGCTGTGGAATAGAATGGTTTGGGTTGAAAATGAAAGATTGTCTGGTTCCAAATCCTGTCACGTCCCACTAGACCAGGTTGCTCCAAGCCCTGTTAACCTGGCTTTGGACACGCAGGGCTGGGACATCCACAGCTTCCCTGAATAAGTTACTTCACAAATAAAAATTTTCTCCTAGTATCTAATATAAATCTCTCGGTTTTTATTTTAAAACCTCTCCCCCTTGTCCTATCGGTATCTTTGTGTAAAAAGTCACTTCCCCCTCCCGATTTTTTTTTTTTTTACTTTTTTTTAATGAGCCCTGTTTAAGCACTGAAAGGCCACAATCACAGAAATTTAGGTTGGAAAAGCCATTATCCCGGCACTGCCAAGCCCACCACGGCCCCAAGTGCTACATCCCCGCTTCTGTTAACCCTTCCGGGGCTGTGGCAGGAGGGTCTGGGGGGGATCTGCAGCGGGAGGGGGCTGCAGCTGCCGGGACCGAGCCCCTCCTTGGAGAGGCGGCGCCTGCTCCCGGTGACATCAGCCCCGGGGACCGGGATGCTGAGCCCGGCCCGGGGAAGGCGGATCCCGCTCCTCTTCCAGCTCCGCATCCCGACAGGGCAGAGCGGGGAGCGGGACTCACCCTCCCTCCCGTCCCCTGCTGTCCCCGGCCAGGCGGGTCCCCGCGGGAGCGGGGGGTCCCTGCGGGCTCCCCGGGGGATGCTGCGGTAGCGGCGGCCGATGCTCGCCCTGCTGCTGTCGCTGCACACGCTGGGCCGCTCGCTGGCCATGGCGAGCGCGGAGCGGCTGGCCGTGCCGCAGTGTGGGAGCCGGGCGGGCGGGGGCAGCCCCCGGGAGCACGGCGGGGTCTCCCCCGGGGTGGGCAGCGAGGTCCGGGAGGCGCTGGAGCGGGTCCTGCCCGTTCTCCGCCGGGCCATCGCCCAGGCCAGGCAGGCGGCCACCCCCGAGGGGCTGCGGGCGGCTCTCTCCGAGGTGTTCCGGCTGGTGGAGGAGGCCTGGGGGATGCCCGCCGTGGGGAGGGACGTGGCCAAGGTGCTGTGCGATGTGATCCGCCTCGAGGGGGGCCTGGACCTGCTGCTCAACCTGCTCTACACCGCCGAGCTGGAGACCAAGTGCCAGGCAGGAAAACTCCTGGAGCAGATCCTGGTGGCGGAAAACAGGTGAGTCTGCAAAGAGCCCCTCGCCCTGCCAGGCACAGCCCTCCCCACCACCCCAGCACTGCCAGCTCCCAGAATGGTTTGGGCTCAAAGGGACCTTAAAGAGCTCACCTCAACCCCCTGCCATGGGTAGGGACACCTTCCATAGACCAGGGTGCTACAAGCTCCATCCAGCCTGGCCTTGACCTCACCTCCACCTTCCAGACTCCCCTGCTGTGGGTGCTCCCAGCTGCACGAACCCCCTGGGATCCCCACCACATCCCCCCACACCCAGGCTCCCTGACCCAGGTCCGGGCAATGCCCGTGGGCCGCTCCCTTCCCCCTCAGCTGGACCAGCCCCAGCTCAGGGATGCTGGGGAGCACTGGGGTGTCCTCTGAGCCCCCTCTGCCTCGCTGAGCTGAGTCAGTTTGGCTGGCTCAGAGCATCTGACCCAAAGGACGAGACGTGACTCCCCTTTAGCCATGACTGCAGCAGGAGGAGGAGGACAAAGCCACTTGCCAGAGCCTTCCTGCTGCTGCCCAGGGCTGGAAGGAAGCCATAAGGAGGGCTCAGCAGCCCTCAGGCCCTAGTTCAGATGCATGTGCTGCTGCTCAGGACAGGTGAGAGGTGCTGGGATGTCTCTGTCAGGGCACGGTGGGGTGGGAGTGCATGCCTGAATGTGTGTGTGTGTACAACAGTGCCTGTGCACATCTGGCACATTTAAATCACAGCACCCGCACACAGCTCACCCTTCCAACACCCCAAATGCACTCTGCCAGCTCTGCTCTCCCTCACAGCACCCCAACCCAGCCAGCCCCAGCCAGAGCTCTGGAAATTGTATGGAGGGAGCCTGACCAAAGTTACTCTGGCTTCCTGGGGGATGTCTCTGGCTGGGAGATTGTGGACTCGCAGCCTGGGCCTCATTTCATGCACTGGCAGGCAAAAATAAGCAGCAGCTAAACCAGGAAAGCCCATTAGGGTGGAATTTAATCCCAGGAAGCATCACTGGCATGGTCTGCATTCAGCACTCAGCTTCTTAGCAAGAGAAAGCATTTGCTGGAGTTGTTGTTTCTGCTCCAGGGGCAGTTCATGGGCCAGGGTCTTGGAGCAGCCATGGGATTCCAGCCCCTCGCTTCCCACAACCTCTGAGCAATGGCAGGGAGGAATGGGGTTCCCCTTTGGGTCCAAGACTCTCACTTACAGAATTCTCCCAGTTTGTGCACACCAGCAGAGGTGTTTAGCTGGGAGCTGGACAGGTCCTGGCTCCATCTGCAGCTGCAGGGAGTTGGGGACCCGTGTTTGTCACCCCAGCTCCATGGCTGAGTCCGGGCTCAGAGCCAGACCCAGGGTTTTTTTGTTGTTTTTTTTTTCCCAGGGTTCTCCACAGCATTTCCTGTCAAACCCACCCCAAGGTCAGTGAGAGCCCTGTGTGTCACAGGCTTCCCAGAAATACTCTTCCTGCCTGCCAGCACAGGCGTGCCATCACCCCACCATGGCTGGGGACTGTGCCACTGCCCTCACGAGCGGCAGGGCATGGGGCACCTGTGCCAGCGCTGCCTCACAAACACAGCAGCTCCATCACGGCACCAAATGGCCACTGCTGAGGGCAGGAATGGCTCCACTTGGCCCAGGAAAGCTCGTGGGAGCACAGCCAAGAGCTCACCTCAGAGGGTGGGGAGGCCCTAGCACACAGAAGCTGCGGCTGCCCCATCCCTGGAAATGTCCAAGGCCAGGTTGAACAGGGCTTGGAGCAACCTGGTCTGCTGGAAAGTGTGACTGTCCCTTGGAACTGGATGAGTTTTCAGGTCCCTTCCAGTCCAAGTCATTCTATGATCCTGATTTCCCCCTTCCTCACTGCATTTTCAAGGCACAGCCCTATTCAGGTGTCATTTTAAGCACAGGCCTCCCAAAAATCAGCTGTGGCCAAGCAGTGGCCCTTGGCAACCTACCCCAGGCTCTTGCTGTCCTCTTCCAGAGGAGTGCAGGGTGAGGAAATAAAGAGCTTCCCTCCAGCTGCCATGGCAGGACAGACCCCCGTGTCCCACTTGTGTTCAGGGCTGTTTGGCTGCTCATGCAGGTGTGAAAGCCCTGTCCTGACAGCTCTGACAGCAGTGCTTAGGGGACAAACAAGTTTCACTCCCAAACACAAAACGGCTCCACACCACAGCAGTGCTGGCCCAGCAGATCCATTTCCAGCCTGGCATTAACCTACCCTGCCTGTTAATTGCGATGAAGATCCTACCTTGAGCACGAGAGCATCCAGCGAGGGGTTCCTGGGCTGTGCACCCCATCACAAGTTCTTCCCTCAACACCGGCCCACTGCATCTTGCTGTGTTGCATATCTGGCAGCTGTGTCCTGCAGGGAATCATCTGTCTGTCCTGGGATAAATGTCACCAAGGCACGGGCCACACCAGTCACTGTTCTCATTCCTTGCACATCCATCTGCTCCTCACCTGCCTCTCCTTCCCTCAGGGACCGGATCGCTCGGATCGGTCTGGGCGTAATCCTGAACTTAGCCAAGGAGCGGGACGTTCCCCAGCTGGCCCAGAGCATCTCTGGGATCCTGGAGCACATGTTCAAACACACGGAGGAGACCTGCTTCCAGCTCATCTCCGACGGAGGCCTGGACACCATCCTGTACTGGTGCCGCTGGACGGACCCCGCCGTGCTGCGCCACTGCGCCATGGCCTTGGCCAACTGCGCCATGTACGGGGGCCAGGCCAACCAGCGCCTGATGATCGAGAAGAAGGCGGCGGAGTGGCTTTTCCCACTGGCCTTCTCCAAAGACGACGAGCTGATCCGGCTGCACGCCTGCCTGGCCATCACGGTGCTGGCCACCAACAAGGAAATCGAGAAGGAGGTGGAGCGCTCGGGGACGCTGGCTCTGGTGGAGCCCTTCATCGCCTCGCTGGACCCCGAGCAGTTCGCCCGGGAGATGCTGGGCAGCAGTGACAACATCCAGGGGCGGACGGCGCAGGACCTGCAGCGCCTCGTGCCCCTGCTGGACAGCTCCCGGCTGGAAGCCCAGTGCATCGCCGCCTTCTACCTCTGCACCGAGGCCGCCATCAAAGCCAGGCAGAAGAAAACACAGGTAAAGGGTAGGTTGGCCTGGAGGAAGGTGATGGCAAAGGGAAGGGCTGCCACAGCTGGGTGTCTTTTGCTCACCAAACACCTTGGTCCTCGCCTGGCCCGGCACAGCTTGCTGGGAAGAGGATGAGGGGAGGCAAAGTGACGTCTCCTCCCTTCGTGTCCCCAGATTTTCAGTGAGATCGGGGCTACGCAGAGCCTGAAGAGGATTGTGTGCTACTCCACCAGCAGCACCACCTCCTCCCTGGCCAAAAAGGTGCTGCGCATGATAGGGGAGGAGGTTCCTCGGCGCATCCTGCCCACAGTTCCCAACTGGAAATCCTGTGAGGTGCAGACGTGGCTGCAGCAGATCGGATTCGACAAATATTGCCAAATATTCCTGGTAGGGTTTTGTGCTGGGGGAGGGATGCACGGATGGACACTTCTGCCCCATCTCACGCCAGAGGTGCAAGCATCTCACCCAGCTTTTCCTGGGACCTTTCCAGCCTGGATTTCTCTTGACAGGATCACCAGGTGGACGGGGACATTCTCCTGAGGCTGACAGAGCAGGAGCTGCAGAAGGATTTGGGGATGGACTCCAGCATCACTCGGAAAAGGTAGGACCACCACCAGGGCACACTGGACTCCCTCAGGGCCGTCACCACAGTGGCAGAGGCAGGGACAAGGTCTCTGCCTTTCTCTTCTTGCAAAAACAGGAATGGAGATCCTCCAAATGCAAAACCTGGACTGCCAGGGCTTTTCCACTACACTTTTTGCAGTCCCAGAGGGATTTCTGTAATGGGACCACTGCATGGCAGAGATGTGGGTGGGGGGAAGACCATCAATGGCACAGGGCAGGTGGGATGGTGCTAATTACCCAGAAAGATGGGAACTTACCCTTAGATGAGCTCCTCACACCTCAATGTCCCAAGGACCAGCACTCCCATGCAGCTGTTCCTCTGTTCTGGAGCTCATCCTTCACCCCGGCACGGAGCTGCACTCCCCCCTGAGCAGGTAAAAGATGTGGTACCACACATCTCCAAGTGCTGCCTGGCGCTCCATTTGTTCCTCCACCAGGTTTTTCCGGGAGCTGACGGAGCTCAAGACCTTTGCCAACTACTCCACCTGTGACCGCAGCAACCTGGCCGACTGGCTGGGGGGCATCGACCCCAAATTCCGGCAGTACACCTACAACCTGCTCACCTGCGGCATTGACCGCAACTTCCTGCACCGGGTGACGGAGCAGCAGCTGCAGGAGGACTGTCGCATCCACACCGGCTTCCACCGCGTCCGCATCCTCACTGCGGCCAGGGGTGCGGCTCCCAGCGGGAGGGAAAGGCGTTGAGGGGTGTTTGGGATGAGCTGCTGGGTGGTTTTTAACTTCTGGTGGTTGTTTTGCGCTGCCCAGAAACGCTTCACTCCCCCATCACGCTGCAAACCGCGTCCAACGGGACCGATGTGTTCATCAGCTACCGGAGGAGCACCGGCTCGCAGCTGGCCAGGTGAGTCCTGCAGGAAACGGTGAAGCCCAGAGGGAGGGTGGGTGGTCAGCTGTGGGAAAAATGTGGAATGTGGAGGAGGGAGAGGCTGCACAAAAGCTGCGGAGCAAATGGGGACAGCACACGTGATAACCTGCACAATGGACAGGCCGATCCCCAGTCCTGTCACCGCCACTGGGGCACTGTCTGACCCTTTCCTCACGCTCCTGGGGCTGTAGGGGATCGCAGCACGGAGTCAACATCACCAGCCGTGTGGGCATGTGCTGGCATCTCCTTCCCTGCTCCTCTGTCTCGCCGTGTCTCAGCCAGCGTGGTGAGACAGCAAATGAAACCTCTCCTCACGGTCCCCTCTCCTCCAGCTTGCTGAAGGTCCACCTGCAGCTCCACGGCTTCAGCGTGTTCATCGACGTGGAGAAGCTGGAGGCAGGGAAGTTTGAAGATAAGCTGATCCAGAGCGTCCTGAGTGCCCGGAATTTTGTGCTGGTCCTCTCAGCAAACGCGCTGGATAAATGCATGGAGGACCCCGAGTGCAAGGACTGGGTACACAAGGTAAGAGATGCCCCCAGCTGGGAGCTGTGTGGATGTTGGGGTGGGAGGCAGTTGGTGAGGGGCTGGTACAGGCTATGAGCACCTGCATGTTCTGATCCTGCAGGAGATTGTGACAGCCCTGAACTCTGGAAAGAACATTGTGCCTGTTACAGACCATTTTGAGTGGCCGGATCCAGAAACACTTCCCAAGGACATGAGGGCTGTCCTGAAATTTAATGGTATCATGTAAGTAAAAGCCACCTGTGCCATGGGGTGCACCTGTGGAGAACAACTTGCATAAGGAGTAGCAAAGAGCCCAAGGACTTTGGGACAAACAGATGAGGGAGGCAGAACAGGTCAAAGGGACAGAGTCACCCCAGATGCTCCGGAGCATGCAGGGAGCAAAGGTTCCCACCACATCCCAGCTGCTGCTGTGCTGGGACTCCTCTGGGTGACAGAGGGGTCACTGCTGGGAGGACACCCATCCTCAGGCAGGTTTTACAGCTCACCTGGGTTTCTTTCCCCCCCTGCTTTCCCTTTGTGCATCCCAGCCTGGCGGGGCATTCTGCAGCATCCACAGGGAAAAGGGAGCTCCTGGAGAGCTGGGCTGGTGGAAAGGGCTCTCTGGCTCCTGGCCCAAATGAACTGAGCTGTCTTGTGGCAACCCACACACAAGAGGAAAAGCAAACATTGCATTTTTCCCCTCGAATACAGGTGGTCCCACGAGTACCAGGAGGCCACAATTGACAAAATCATCCGCTTTCTCCACGGCCGCTCCTCCCGGGACTCCTCGGCTGGCTCGGAGAACGGGCTGGACTGTTTGCACTCCCTGGGGCAGAGCTAGAACCAGGACAGCAGTCTCAGAGACTCCCAGGTGACCCCTTGTTGTGTGGGTCCAAATTAATCCCTCCTGACTTTTTCCCATTTTTGAGAGAAAACCTGTGTCTCTCACTCCCTTCTCACCCTCCAAGAACAAGCCCCTGGCCCCCAAAGGCCAGCACTCACTCCCACAGCGCCTGAGGAGCCAAGCCAGGCTGGACTCTGAGATGGATTATGTGTCTTCCATGTCCCCCTGTGGGGTGGCAGGACATGCATGGGCTGTGAGGGAGACTGGCACCATCCAGACCCCCAAAAGCTTCCCCCAGAAGCAGCTCCAAAGAGGAAGGATCTTCCAAGGACTGAAAACTGGAGAAGTGTTGAGAATCCATCGTAAGGGGACACACGGGAGAGAAGAACAATTGAGAGGAATGTGTGGTTGTGCTGTGTGCCCCAGGAATATCCCTGTGGTCAGAAACTCAGAGCAGGAAAGGGCAAATAAAAACTAAGCCCTAACAAAATCTTTGTGTTTGGGAAAGATAACCCACAGGGGCCTTCTGAAGTGCTTTATCTTTCCCAGCAATGTCCCTTTATCACAAGAGCTCCTTCCCTCCTCAAAAAACTTCCACCTCCCAGTGCTGCAAAACCACTGTGTGCTCTTAACTCTGGCAGTGGAAATTTGGGGTTAGACCACGTGAAGTTTCCACAGGATCTCTGCAAAAAGGGCTTTTAAAATACCCTCCTTCCCTCCATCTGAAGTCTCAGCTTCACCACTTTATCAGGTCTGTATTTTCAGGGCACTGGAGGCTGGACTGTAACCCTGGAAAACTTGAAATCCACACAGGGAAGATGCTAATTGCTGTGCTTGTGGAGTTATTGTACACTGTGGCTGTATTTTATCCTGCTCCACAGCGGATCTCCCGTGGTCTGTGCCTTCAGCAGGAGCTGGTGAATCTCTCTGCTGACCACCACACCCCCACAGCCCTGGCTGAGCTCCCTGGGCTTGTCCCTGCTCACTGCTGGATGCAATTCCAAACTTGTTTCTTCCTATCCACCTCTTCTCAACACCCCCCCGGGCTTTTTGCGGCTCCTCACCTTAAAATATCAAGAAAAAGTGGAGCTGATGCCAAGAGCTGGCAGAGGATGGTCCAGCTGGGAGTGGGACCATCAGTGCCTGCTGCCAACACTGCTGGTGAGGAACCATGGGCATCCTGACACAAACCCTGCATTTCACACTCCAGGCTGCTGAATCACCTTGCAGAAGCCCCAGGCTCCTTTTCCTATCCCTGCTCGAGAAGAACTCAAGCCTTTCAGGAGGTAACAAGGAGTCTCAGCCACCTTGTTCTCCTCCTGGCTCTCCCTGAAGCCCTGCTTTAAGTGTCAGGAACACAAACACTTTTTTTCTTTTGGCTTGGATCCACGAAAATTTCAGGGGGCCAAAAAAAAAAAAAAAAGTTAATTCTGGTGCTTTATGGATAGTTTTTATCAGCTCACAGTTAATGGCATCTTTGCTCTCCAGTGAAAGGTTAATAGCCATATCTGCCCAGCATTCATCAGAATTAGAATCCATCTAATCTCCAGATTAAATAACAAGAAGCCAGCAGATGAGCCCAAAGGTGAATCTGCCAAAGGATAAAAGCCTCTTGCGAGCTGCTTCGGGGAAAAGCCTTCAGTAACTGAATGTCAAGGCCTCCATGGCCACTGAAGGAGTCCCACACAAACAGTCCTAAGGATTTTTCTCCCTGCAATAAACCCTGGTGAGATGATTGTGTCTTGTTTCCCAGGAGCTCTGTAGCAATCAGCCTCCTCACCCAGCACTCCGTGTGGAGATTTCCTTGTTCTCCACAGCTCAGGTGTCTCACCTGAAACCAGATCCCATCTCCTGCTCCAGCTGCCCAGACTGTGACTCCTCCTGTTTCCCCATCATCATCTTCACCTTAATGAACTTGCCCTGCTTCTGGCTAAACATCCTATTCCCAGCCCCTTCCAGCTGGAGCAGTCCCAAGGAAATTAATTCCTCTGCCCTCATCCTTCCTCATTCCTTTGCTCTGCCATGTCAAAAGTGTTTGCAGTTATTCAATCAGGCATTATTAATAAATCTGTTTTTCACTTTAAATCCCCACCTCTTTGTCTGTATCACATGCTTCTCTCCCTGCAGGCTGTCCACACTTGTTTTCCCTTGCCACCATGAAGCAGAGCTGACATTCCCAAACACTGTTCCCTGGAGGAACCCCCTCACCTTTGCACAGACTGATGCTCTGCACCCCCAGGGACCCTGCCTGCTGCCACCAGCCGTGGCTCCACTGTTGCAACTCTTGAAGGACGGCCTAGAAAAACTTTGGTTCCATTTTTTTTTTTAATAAGGCACAATAGCTGCCATTGAATCTCTCCCCACGCAGAGCCAGGTTCCGCCTCACTGCACAACACTGAGCACCTGCTTGAACTGGCACCCACAGAGTGGACTTTACTTCACAATCACTTCAGCCACAAACATCTAGTGCAACGTTCAGAGCATGCCCTGTCCCTCGGGGAGGCCAATTCCAGGCTTAGCCCAGCAACCAGACCCGTAAGTCCCGTGTTCCCTGGCGTAACTGCTCGGAGCAAGTGGCGTAACACCAAGTTCTTAAAGCCTCCCTGCTCCTCTGCTCCCCAGATCCTCCTGCTTCTACCACAAACTCCCAATGGACAAAGCTGGGTGCAAGCATTTCGCTTTTTCTGCATACTGAAGGACAGGTTTCAGACAAAGCTCTCCTGCAAGCTTTACTCTGGTGGTCAGGAAAAGCAAGTTTTGGCTGCTTGCAAGTCCAAACCTGCATTTTTCCTGACTTTTCACTCTCACACATTCATTCTCCATGAGACATATAAATTCCTGCTGCTCCTTTTGTACTGCAGTCTTCAGTAAAGGATTGAGAATGAAAATAATGGAGAGAAGACCTAAACGAGTCAAAGACAAACAATATCAACAGCTGCACAAGATATCCAGAGTTTTATGAACCATAAAAGAGGTTTTATTCATTCTGAAAGTAACAGTAAAGTCATTACTGCATGTACCTGAACAGCATGTGCAGTGTACACAGAACTGCTGCTTTATGGCACATTGAAGAAAAAACAAGATTGCAGCAACACAGGTAATGATTTGGAAAGAAAAATTATAAGCACCATGGACACAGGGTTTGCTTGCTGGCATCAACAGATCCCAGGACAGGCAGCAGAACTGAGATCATTAACACAGGATTATGCCACATACAGCAAAAATGATTAATCTTAAAGACACTAGTCCTGTCCCCACACCAGCTTGCTGAGGAAGGCCTCTGGATAAGCACAGCAGTGATTTCATGTGACTGGGGCACACCTATCAAACTGGGGTTGTTTTGTGGTATAAGGGGGGAACAATTCTGACAATTTTCTCCTTAACTTCATCGTTTTTGGCAACTGTCAATTAAGGCACCTACAGGAGTTGCTTCAAGGATCCTCGTGGGTCCCTCCCAACCCAGGATTTATTCTACTGTCACTGCAGTATTCTCAGATGATCTGTTAATTGTCAAAACCACCTCTGAGATGCTGGGCTGAGCTGCAGACAGGCAGGACATACCACTGGCACTCCTACCAACACTCCATGAAGTAGATCCCCTTCTTAGGACACCTCTGACTTGCAGAACTAAAGCTGGTTCACTCAGTAAGGACAGCAATAGCACTCCTGTGCTAAGCTACCTCTCTCCATAAGGATTTTTGTGGTCTGGCATGTCACTTTGGATGGGGTTTAAGTGGCAATGTGAAGATCTGGAGCACGGATCTTCCCCCTCCAAGCAGGACACTGTTGGGTGCCTCCGCTTCAGTCTGTACCTCAGCCACACCAACAGCTCATCAGCTGCAGTCCTCTGAGGGGAAAATGCAATTAAACCAGAACTCAGTCCTCCCTCCCCACTAAAAGCATGGCAGAGCCTTCTGGCCCCACCAAATCCCAAACCACAAACCAGCCTTGCAAAAAACCCACAACGGCTTGATTGACTTTTGGGTCTCTTGGGTTTTCTCCCACAGATGAGCCAACACAGTGTTGAGGGGGCATTCACAGCTCCAAATCAAACTCCTCCTGTATTTCCAACTATTTAGCATTTAAAAGTTAGTAAGGACAAGCAGGGTGTCCCTCCCACACTGATCTGTCCTTTGAGGGAGGACTGAGGTGTAACCTTCAGGCGGGCACTGCTGTGCTGGCCAATTCCTTGTTGTTAAATTCAGTCTTTTGGAGGGGACAGAGAAGCATCTTGGAAGTGGTTGTAGTCGTGTTTTGAATCCCAGATTTGTATCCACCTGGAAAAGAATTAACAGTTTCAGCTTTCAAAGGCACATTGGGGATGTTGCTGAATGGAGTCAGTCTAAAAAGTTTCAGAGGATCAAAACAAAATGACCCTGCCAAGAGCTGCTGCTCTTGTGCAAATCCCAATACATTCCCTCTCCCAGAACCTACATGGGGATTTGTTTTCTATCACAACAAAACTTCTGCTTCAATTACTAGACAAATTACAGGGAGAGAGACTGCTGAGAACTTGCAAATTCAGTTCCTGATTTTGGATTCCATTGAGGCTGGAGTGAGGCTTTGAAGCACTTTGAATATTGGTAGCTACATTACTCAGGCTGCAGGTTTATCCCTAGGATTCAGATTCCAAAGGAAATGACCTGCACCTCTTTTTACCAGAGCACCAGACACCCTCTCACAACCATAACTGAAAATATGCCTTAAAAACTGTCAGCTTCTATCCTAAGAGTAAATGGTATTTTCCATATGACACTGCATGGCAAAGTTTAGACATTTGAAGTAAATTACCCTAGGATAGCTGCTGGAATAAGGAGGATTATAGCCCCAAAGAGAAATGGGAATCCCCTCATGAAGTGCAAGGTGGCAGGGTAGAGAGAGTTGAACACTCCTGTAGCCACGAGTGAACACAGCCCTTCCACACAGGCAACAGAAGCAAAGAGAGCACCTGGAAAAGAGAGATAAGAGGTTAATGGTGAGATAGGCTGCTGGTTATT